TTTCTGAGGCCAGCAAGGGGAGCAGTGTTTCAGGTGTGAGTGGGAGTGGCAGTAGAAGTGGGAGCATGAAAAGTGAAAGTGCAAGTGAAAGCAGAAGTGGTAGAGCTAGCAGTGTTGCATCCTTATCTGGCTCACAGAGAACCACATCATCAGAAAGGGCCATAACCACAGAGAAGCCCAGTGAAGAACTCAGTGAGGCCGAGTCAGGGACAGGGACAGCCAGTGAGGAAGACTCAGGGTCAGTAAGTGAAGGTTCTTTGTCTCGTGGGTCCAGCCAGAGAAAAATGTCTGGGTCAGAGTCCATTGGAGGGTCGTCCTCTGTCAGTAAGATGACAGATCAGACTTCCCTGAGCAGTAAGGGGAGTTCAACTGGTTCCCGGTCCTCCAGTGGCAGCCAGCATTCCCGGAAGTCCATCCTGAGCCGAACCTCTGAGGACACAATCACAGAAGAGAGTGAAGAAGAGGAAGAATCTGAGGCTGGTGACGAGAGCAAAGAGTCAGGCAGCGAGCTCAGTGATGAAGCATTGTCTAGGAGGTCCAGTGTGGCTTCTGGAGACCATTTGCCCTCTACCTCATACACTAGTCCCCCATACAGCTCTGAGGTCAGAAGCACTAGTAGCATCTCTGAAGATACATACGGAGGACTGTCCCCTATCACTGAGGTGGACGAGGATGCCATCTCCTCTGACAAATCTTTAGCCAGGCGCTCTGGATCAGAGGCCAGCAGTGTGGTGAAGAACTCGGCAGCATCAGATGCAGCAACATCAGATGCTGATTCAGATTCTGAAGGAAACTCAACTGACTTCTAGAAAGATATTTTGTCCACTGTGAAGTAAGAGTGAATAAAATAAATTACCCTTGCATGGGAGTGATGAAATATTGCTTGCCACTAAGAGAGTGTTTCAAACATCCAATTTCCCCTTATGTCCCCTCAGAAAGGAAGAACTCAGTTTCCTGCTGTAGAATGAGTTTTACTCTCATTTCTGCCTCTTTGACTTATTCTTCAATTTGATTCTTGTGTGTTTTTAACCTTTGCTTTTTGTATAACATTATGCTGTTATTTCTGCTGTTTGACCTGTGCATGTTGCAGTACTGTTTGCCTTAACTGAATGTTTTCTTCTGATTTTTAAAGTACTACTTTGCACAAAGATATAATATTGCTTTTTCTATAGAAAACCAAGATTTCTGGTCATGCATGTAGTTCCACCACAGGACTGTAGATACATGATCATAAGAGGGTTTATTTAAATTTTCTGAAGATATTTTTTCACATTGGATTATGATTGTTTTTGTAGAAAAAAATATTCCTCTGAATACCTTCGTCATCTTGACGCCCGGTATGCAACACCTGCTATCTGCAGTGTTTGTGCAAAGAAACCTAAATATACTGCACCTTGTGAAAAAAAAAAACTATAGACTGACTAAACCCTTCTCTCTTCCTCAGCCTGGGAGAAAGAAGCGTAATAAGCTGGTGGTCAATAGGGAGAATGAAACCAGCTCCACAGGAGAGGAGAGCACAACAGAGACCCAGAGGACCCGACTCCCCAACAGTCACAGCAACATCAACGGGAACATCTACCTTGCACAGAATGGCACTATTGTCCGAACTAGGCGGCCACCCCACCCAAACAACCTGAAGGTGGGTTCTCCATGCCGGCTAGGTAAGCATTTTAAAAAACTAGACAAGTTGGGTGTGACTTATGAAGAACCCCCTCCCATTGTTAGCATTGAGGGCTCAGGAAACGACACAGAAAATGTAATGGGCACATGTGTTCCCTCTAATGTGGACCTCAACCTTAACACTCAGTCCTCCTCTGGCTCCCTGGAATCAACCACCACAGATCTTAAAAGGTTTGGGTCCAAGACCAATATTGCCAAGGCCTTGATTGACAGAAACAGCAGTGGTCCATGTCTCAGTGAAGAACAAGAGACTTCTGTTGACAACCACAAGAACAGTAGGGAGACACTGGAGTCCCACAGTGACCACACATTTTCAGACGAGGAGGAGTTATGGATGGGGCCCTGGAACAGCCTGCACATACCAATGACAAAACTCTGACTGACCAGGGAGAAAATTTATTTCCATTGTGTTATTTTCCCGTCTTTATCATGTTGGTTTTATTTAGAAAATGATCATAAACAAATTGTGTGCCTCAACCAGGTAAGTGCAGACCACTGTCCACACACAGATGATTGCACTTACATATGGTCAAGTTTTATTTAACCATAACACCGTATGTTAAAGCTTTTATCACCAACAGGAGGGATGGGACCATACAGCTGCAAGGCAATGAGTGCCTCAAAGAAATATGAAATTCTGTGTGAACCGCGCTTGACTGTAATTTTAACTCTATTTAACACAGAAAATGGGCTTCTTTTATTGAGAGAGTCCATGTTTTTGCTTTTCTTTTCTCAGGCACAGTTTTTAAATCCTGAAACAGATCACAAAGAGATCACTCAATTCACTATGATTTTATAGACAGTGAACACATGACAGAATTGTGATCATATAGTCTATGAGTAAAAGAAACTTATTTTGCTAATAGTATTTTACTTTCAAATAATTAAGATTGTCTCTCATTCTATGTTGTGATCGCTTGGCGATGCTTTTCAAAATTTCTGAAAAATAAATGAAATTATTTTTGTCAGTTTTGTATCTAACAGATTGGGAATCTAACATATGACATTAAAAACATAATGTATACACCTGACTGTCATTACTGTATTTCCACAGTGAAATATGGCAGCGAAATCATTGTGCTTTTATATGGACATTTGTACAGAATGTTGTATTTTCAATCCCTTTACATGATGCAGATTCGTTTTGTTCATGATAATTTATTAACTGACACATCAGGACCCCATATGGGAGGACAGGCTACCAAAAATGTATTTCATTCAACAATAAAGCTCTAACCTATTTTAATGTGTATTGTGAAGCATAATTGCAGGCTTTGTACACCTCCACCCTATCCAGGTACTTCAGCAACATGGATAATGTGAGCAACTTGTAGTTTTAAAAATATTACTTCATTGTGTGCCTTTATGAGAATGTGAAGAATGTTTAGGATTATAAAGCTACAGCCCTTGAATTGCATAATGGGTATGAAAGTTGAATAGGTAGCACACAGCAGCAGCAGTAACTCAGCAGTAAGCTCATAGTAAAAATACAATGTCTGCAGGGAGAAGTCTGTCAGAATGAAGCCTTCTCTGTGCAGTGGGCTTTCACTTTTAAGAAGACCAACGACAGGTCACCAGACATGGGGATATGGATAGCTCCTGTATCTGAAAGGTAGTGGGAAGTGTGAGAGACTGACAGTCCTCTTGAGCCCACTTTCTCACCTGTCAACACAACTGCAAAAAAAAAAAAAAAAAGGCAGTGATTGCAACCAAAAGGCAGAAGGCAACAGATATCTCAATCACATTCTCTTCATTTGTTTGTTGGTTTATCAGAGAATGACATGTCTTAACACACCCACAGTGGCATTTTTACAAAACATGTCCTGCAGTCAATCAAACCTCGGAATGCCAGTCAAGTCGCAGAGTTCTGTGTAGGCTGGCGTTCACAAAGGAACGGGAGCTGAATGCCAGAGTGAAGTAGCTTGAAAAGTGCCTAGAAAATAGGTCAGGAGGGAGCCTTGTTCCCACCACAACAAGTTTGGTGTGCTAAAACAAAACAAACCTCTGCATTATGCTGATTGGGAAAAATGAGGAAAGTAAGAACTACAAAAAACACAAAGATCAACCTGTTTTAATTTTGTTGATTTTTTTTTTTTCACCTCCTAAATGTGTGGATAGATTCTTGGATCTCCTCAGAGAAGGGCCGTGCTGGTGTTCTATCTGTCAAGAGCCACCTGCTACACTGTGTGTGCACACTGACAGGAGCTAGCACTGCCTGCCAGAGTACATCACTGCACAAACCCTGTTCAGTGCAGATGGAGCTGGCTACTGTGCTGTTTGTGTTTTTCTTATACAGTTGAATCGAGGTTGAATGTAATATTTAACAAAGCCTCAAAATGTATGTATTCCAAAATAAGTATTCTTAAAGAAAAATAAAAAATATATGAAATGCCTGTACCCTCATCTCAAACAAGATGACTGACTTCACCAATCTCTTTTAGGAATGCCCTTCTGGGTGAATTGGATTAATGCTGGCCCAACAAATAGAAGCTTTTCTCCTGAGCATTCCTGTCTGTCGCAGGATTGTGGTCCATGCCTTTTTTTGTACTCTTCACCTTGATCATTTCACTTAGTAGATTAAATTTACAGCATTAAGAGTGGACACATCTTTGTGTATTCAGTTGTAGGCTTGAGTGAATGCACAATCAAATGCCTAGTCAAATAGGATTTACTTTTCATTTGCATTTAATATTTATAAAACAAGACTTTCTAAAAATGATGAAATGTTTGACAGAAAATTTCAAAGCAGACCTGAAGCTTCATTACTGTTCATGAAGGCCACTCAGGCTAATTGCTTCAGTAAACTTATAATACAGATATAATTGCCATCTCTGTCTTAATTGTAATGTTTACTCAACAATATTGTTTGACATGTCTGCCACTGCATTTTCAGTACGACACTAAGTTATCTGGAAAACTTTTATACACATAAATTACCTCGCTGTAGTTGCAATACATAAGTTTGAATAGTGGAAAACTGAATGACTGGATAATTGATTCACTGATAACCTTAACTGCCTGTTGTCACAACCTTTTAAATCACAAAATACTTCATACTTAAATTTTCAAAAAGTATTATTCCTTTTCTTCTGATTGTGTTCTAGTGGCTTTCTTTTAAAAATTTTCATTGGGTAAAGCTAATGCAGGTATGCAGGTATATTTGTAGTAACAAGTAGAAAGAGGTGATGTCAGTTTGCACAAATAGCCAGCACCTTCAGCCATTGCATCTTAAAGTGAGACTGTTACAGTAGCATTTAGCTCCAGGCAAAGCCTCACAGAGCTGCTAGCATTGCTGTGTACTCATGCAGCATGAATGCAGATGTCCAGGTGTCTTTCTAGCTAATTCAAGCATTTATAGTTGAGGTTATGACAGTTTGCACAAATGCAGTTTGCACAAATGCATGACATCTGCAGGTAATTGCAATGCACACATTTAAAAATGTATAATACCTCAATTTTTGTGTCAGTAAATGTATCACATTCAACAGTAAAGGTGATCTGGGCTTTATAGTAAATTAGATATGCAGAAATTCAGTATTATGAACTGATCACAGAAGTGACAAGCAGTATTTTTGTACCCCGTTCAAAACGGGTTCGGCCACAGTTTGCCTTTATGGGAAGTCGTTTTCTTCAACAGTAATTCCGTTACAGACCTGTGGATGTAAATCATGACATAGAAATACTGCTGTGCTTCACAGAGATTTATAAATCTCTAAAGGTTTTATGGGGGGTGATTATTCATACATTGAGGAGTCTTAAAAGTTAGTAGGCACAGGGTCATGCTCCCCCTGTGCCTGGTTGTGACAGCTTGCTTATTTTAATTGGCCTTTTTAGACCTTGTTTCAGCCCCTTAGTTTAATCAATGCATGCATTTGGATACACCTGACACCTCTTTAACTAATGAACAAATCCATCGGCTTGCTAAGAATGTAGTATTGTTGCAAGAAATGGATCCACATAGCTTCTGATATGTTAACATTCAATTTGACAGGAGGAAAAAGTGAGAACAGCCTCAGAAATGCATCAATATTAAATCATCTCTTCAAGTATTCATAGGGAATGTAAAATAGGAACTTAAGCTTTTCATCCCATCTTTCATATCAGAAGGACAGAATTCTGGAAAGTGTGCCCAATATACTGTAAATGTTATTGGCTAAAGCATCTTTAAAAACATGATCTACACATGAGGAATTATGCTCTCCAAGTTGTGAACAATTTTGTGTACCACACTGGCAAACTTTGCTGAAAAAGCCTTGACAACCCTAACAAACACCACATATGAAGAAAAACTACCTTGGTAATTGTTCACAATGAAAATACAAGTCTGCATAAAGAATACAAGGCTTTTGCATCATCATCATCATCATCATCATGCGCAGAGTAGACCCAGTATAAACATTACCCTTTGATTTATTTGTATGCCTGTGTTTTTCTCCCACACTCCTGTGTGAGAGAAAAAGCAAACACAGCAGTCACACTTTTATCACGTACATAAATACTGCATGTCATAAATGTGTAAAGAGGTGTTTGATATCTTGAAGCCATAACATAAGCATGCAGATTAGGTTTTCTATGTGCACAGGAGGAGCAGCTAATGCATTAATACCATTTCCACTTGCTCAGGAAAGTGTTTCCCAGGTATAGGTAAGCACTCCAAGTCCACCTGCGAGCCCCTTGAGTTTCACCTATTAGCACAGTCTATATAGGATATCCTGGCCTACAGCAGGCAAAATGGTAATCTACCTATGATTCATTCTAAAGGGGATTATCACAAATCCCCAACGGAGGCAGGAGGAAACTCCTCATAATACCTATCCATCACCATTGCTTACTGCATGTTCATACCTGAAGGCCAGGACTCTTCATTTCCTCCAAAACCTAACTCCAAAATAACATGATCCATTTCATTACTTCAGTATTAACATTACAGAGCACATATTTATTGAATTTTGCACAACTGGTTGAGGATAGGAATAATTTTTGAAACCAAGGAGGCACAAAAAATGTCATATTACCATACGTTTTTATGATCCTCCACCCAAATTACACAGGCAGTCAGTTGTGTTTTGCGAGCACACACTGGTGAAATTACAGCTCGTGCCATGCCATTTATTTTTGTTATTCAGTGAACTCTGGCTTTTCATTCATTAAACTAGGTCAGCTGTGCCATGCAGTCAGTATGGGAATGCTTCAGTCCTGTTTGGGGGGGGGACTGTGGATGGTCACAGGTTGGTTATTACAACATACACCGTCTGGTGTAAGAGTAATTATTTGATGATAATTATTGATTATATTATTGCTAATTATTAATATTGCTTTTTTTAAGATAAAGCAAAGGTGTATGTTAGTGGTATGAGAGTCCAGATACACTAATAGGCATAGACAAATGTAGCTAGAGACAGTGTCAGCCAGTATTTGTTAAAGGAAAAATGTGCAACACTTTTCAGTTGGACTCTTTAAAAGTAATAATATTCAGAAGGCCTCATTAACAGAAGATGGAGTTCAGGTTTTGTGTCAGTATGTAAACACTGTTGAAACTAGCACAACTTTAGTATCTTTGGTAATGAATACATGTTTTTAGAGATGTAGTTTAAATAAAACATGTTTAAGTGAAATGCTTTATTTAATCTTTGAACATATTTAGTGAAAACAAAGACTCCAGTACCTGATGAAGTTACATAGTATTGTATTGTTCGTGTGACATTTTCTTTTGTGCTTACACAGTTGTGATGCTTTTTGAGTACTGATGCTGTTGCAGCTCTCGATAGTTCATTAGTCCTGCTGACAAGTGATGGTGTTGTAGGAGCTTTGCCCTTTTCTCGAGCAAAGCTAAATTCATCAAAGATTCCCCATCAGCCATAAACAATCTGTGAATTCTCCTCAGAGCACAGAGAAGCCACTAGATTTCCTGGTGATCAATTTGGTTCTGATGTTTCAGTTTTGCCCTGTGGCTCAGTCACCTCTTAACCCAACTTCTTCACATTTTAGCACATCACTGCTTATTTGCTTGGGAGTGTGATGGTGTCATATATCTGATGGGAGAGATAGCGGGAAAAGCCATCTGAGAATAACTTTGGGAATCCCTGCATGACCTTGTGGAAACACCCGAAACTGTTAATCCCACAGAGAGACGGCCTCAGAAATGATAAATAAGCCACTATATTTCACTCCAAAAGGAACAAAGTAAGTAAAAATGTATCAAATCATCCTTTATAAGTTATTCCCATGCAGGT